AGGCACAACCAACGGTCAACAGTCAACACCGAACATCAACGGTCAAATTAATATTAATAGTTAACCAATTAAAAAAATAAATATTGACCAAACACTTTATTCCTTATTTAATAGTTGGGTTGAGTTTTACATTCTCGTTTTAATAATAGGAATGAATTTGATTCAATCTCTATATGATACATACATTTATTTATTTTGTGAGGGAAAAAAAGAAATAAACAAGCAATTGAGTATATCATAATCGTAAATTCTACAACTTAAAAAATAATATACTACTGAAAGTTAAATTATTCTAAATATTTATGTTTTATATATATATATATATTAAAATAACTATACATTATAATTCATAAAATGTAATTTTTATGTCAAAATAATTATACATATATACACATATATACATATAACATATATATACTATATTATTGAAAAAAATTCTACATGGGCCGTGCCCCTATGGGCCCGGTCTAAATCCGCCCTGTGTGTGTGTGGCGATTATTAGAATCAGTTTAGGATCTTCGAATTCAACGTTTTTCATTATGAAGAAAGTTTTATTATACTAAATTATAAAAGTTAATTATGACTCATTAAATTTATGTCATGTTTGTAGATTTAGATAGGGTTAAGTTTATCTCATGATACTGTTCACAATTCACATTTATCAACAGCCAAAAATAAAAAAAAATAAAAAAAAAACATAAGGAACGAAATTGAAGTACACCCCATTCCTTATCATCAAATAGATGTATTAATCTACAATTCAACTATTATATAATTTGAAAATTTAGTAATTACATTAAGAAATATGAATAATAAATTTAATTTTCTCATTCATTCGTGTAAGAAATTGGGGAAAAAACGGTTGCGGTCCCACTAACATGAAACACACCATGAGAGGGAAAAGCCCATATGAAGTCCAAGTTAGGTTCCATCCCAAAACCAATTGGTGGAAGGAGGAGTAGCCCATTAGACTTATAAGGTGAGTCTATTTTTCATGTATGAACGATGTGGGACAACTCACAAGTGATATTCTAACACGCTCCCTAACTTGTGAGTCCTTCGAAAGTCCAAGCCCAGCTGGGTGCCCCAAGCCTACTAGAATAGACTCCCATAAACGGGTACGTGGGGAAACAGACTCCCATAAACGGATGAGAGAAGCTCAAGCCCAACTGGGTGCCCCAAGCCTACTAGAAGTAGGCTCCCATAAACGGGTACGTGGGGAAGCAGACTCCCATAAACGGGTACGTCATCGCACGGTCTCAATAACACCTGGGACCTGTGGGTTATGGGCCCACCACGCTCTGATACCATGTAAGAAAGTGGGAAAAATATATGTTCTATATAATTCACAAGATATGTACACATATATATAGGAACAAAATGAGCATAAACCTAATCCTACTAAATATATACAAAATATATTCTAACCATATATACAAAATATATTCTAACACCCCATCTCAAACTCAAGGTGGTATAGTAGATATCAACTTGAGTTTGCTAAGAAGTAAACAAAAGCGACCGGGAAGGAGAGACTTCGTGAAGACATTCGCTATCTGATCCAAAGAGGAGACGAAAACAAGTCGTACAGTCCCATGTGTAACATGCTGGCGAATAAAATGACAATCAATCTCAATATGTTTGGTACGCTCATGAAACGTATCATTATGAGACATCTTGACAGCACTCTTGCTGTCACAGTGAAGAGCAGTAGAGGATGACCGAGGGACACCAAGATCAGCAAGTAATCGACGCAACCATAATAGCTCTGCGGTGGAATCAACAAGAGCACGATACTCAGACTCGGCACTCGAACGGGAAACCAAGGTCTGCTTCTTACTGCGCCAAGAGACAAGTGAATCACCTAAGAAGAAGCAATACCCGATAGTGGAGTGACGATCAGTAGGATCTCCAGCCCAATCAGCATCGGAGTAGTCGCTAAGGGACAAGGAAGAACTGACCGAGAAATGTAAACCATGCAATAAGGTGCCCTTCACATAACGAAGGATGTGCAACACAACATAATGATGCGTGGTTTGGAGCAACCATAAACTGACTCACAATATGAACATCATGAGCTATATCAGGCCTAGTGACAGTCAAATATATAAAACTCCCAACAAGCTGACGATATAAAGTAGGATCCTCAAGAAGAGAACCATCCAATGGAGTAAGACGAATATCATAATCAAGAGGTGGCAATCAGTGAGACCGGCTCGAGCAAGAGTATCAGAGGCATACTTGGCTTGAGACAAATAGAAGCCATCAGAGGAATCATAAATCTCAAGACCCAGAAAATAGCGAAGACGACCCAAACTCTTCATCTCAAAATGCTGTCGAAGATAATCCTGTAAGTCGGAAATACCCGAAACATCATCCCCCGTGATGATCATATCATCAACATAGAGCAACAAAACAATGATCCCAAATGAAGAGCACCGAAGAAATAGGGCAGAATCGTGATCACTCGTAGTGAAACCAAGCTGAGACAATGCAGAACTGAACATGGCGTACCAAGCACGAAGCGCTTGTTTCAAGCCATACAAAGCTCGGCGCAGACAACAAACCTTCACAGAGGACAAGAACCCAAGAGGAGGAGTCATGTAAACCTCCTCAGATAATGCACCGTGCAAGAAGGCATTCTTAACATCTAACTGTAAAAGAGACCATCGACGAACTGCAACAACTGCAAGTAAACATTGTACAGTAGTAAGACAAGCAACCGGTGCAAATGTCTCTTCATAATCTATGCCATACTCCTGTGAGTACCCCTTAACAACAACACGGGCTTTGTAGCGCTCAATAAGCCCATCTGAATTTTTTTTATCTTGTAAACCCATTTTCATCCGATGGGTTTCTTGCCAGCAGGTGGATCAACTAGATCCCCAAGTATGAGTCTTGTCTAAGGCCTGCAATTCCTCAGCCATAGCTTGTTGCCACAATGAATCAAC